GAACATTTATCCGCTAGACGTCCGAGACGTTATTCAATTCGGCTTGATCTTATCCACAGTCGGCAAAGAATATTCTAAAATGATTATCCAATAAAGTTTTCCATCTTCCTTCTCAAAATTTTTTACTCGTCATCACTCTCAAAAAATATCGACCAAACATCCATGCCTCACCTGCGCGTTCTTTGAGTCGCTGAATAAAAGCTTGAAATTTATTAATGTTTTCTCAAAGTCTAAAATATGAAATATGTTTTACGGAACCCAACATTAGCAAGAAATAATCTTCAGCTGTCATTGTATTAGGGTTGTCGTAAAGTTTTTATCCTGTCTAAGGAAGAACTTGTTTACTCTGAACAATGCTGAGGGTCACATGATATTTTATGTTTAGTAAGAGACTCGCAATTTCATTGCATCCCGAAAAGTTCCATCCATTGTTCCGAATTTTTAAAACTACCTCAATAAATTCATTGTTAATAGTTATAATCTGATTGTTTCAAACGAAAAGTATCCGTCATTAACAGATTTAACAGCAAACCAGTGACACAATTAATGAATGGTTGCCTTATCCAATAATATGCTGGAAGCCTCTATGACTCTTTTAAATATGCTGGAAGTAATAACAATTTATTAATTCTTCAAGTCTTTTAACAGTCATTGATAATGCGTACGGGCGGCTGACTGGGGATTGATTATGTTGTTGATTTATCTGTGCTAGCTCGCTACATCGACCGACTTAAAAACTGAAACGTGCGACAACATTGAATTTAGATGTCAGTATTTGAAATTTGTAGACTTCATAACGTGTAAAGAATAGGTTTCTACAATTCTCAACTAGTGACGGCTCTAAAAAAACTTCGTTAAGGGTTTGATAATCCTTCTTTATGTTGCAAAGTTTCAAGCAGTTCAAGGGTTAGGTACTTTTCCATTACGTTGCAAAGGCAGGCAGTTCAGGTGACAGTTCAAGCGACATTTCATAGGTTTGATATTCCATCTCAGTGTTGCAAAATCAGACAGTTCAAGGGTTGAATATTCCTTCCTTCCGTTTCAAGGGCTCGAGCAGTTTAGGGTTAATATTCCTCCATTATATTGCAAAGGCAGGCAGTTCAAGGGACAGTTCAATGGTTGAATGTTCCTCCATTACGTTGCAAAGGCAGGCAGTTAAAGGGACAGTTCAAGGGTTGGTTATTTCTCCTCAACAAGAGTGCACGCGGCCTCGCTTGCCCCTGTATTTGCAGAGGAGGTGTGGAGCGTCAGTAGAGCGTGAAGACTGCATTGTGTTAGAGCAAACAAGTTCACGCTTCTCCTAGCGATCAATTCCTTTCTTTAATTGAGGGTAAATTTTACACGTAATAGAATATTTACTCTCTGGATCTGGAAAAATTTGATATGATTTGAAAAATAGGAATTGACTGTGTTAATGCCCCGTCTATAACAGGAATTTTCGTACTAAAATAGTTACTGATTATGTTATGGTGATAAAAAAAATTTGAAGAAGAAATGTTATGGTAAAAAAGAAATTTCGGGAATTTTTAGAGGACATGATTTATAAATAAATACACGCATAGAGAGGAAAATTTCCCAAGCACATCTTTCATATCTACCGCTACCCTCAAAATTTTATTTCATTCCAATATTTAATTTTATTCACAAAATTAGAACCTCCTGAGACGCTAAGTCTTTGGTCGAGTTCACTTACCGACAGACTGCGCAGAGTTGAGCGCTTCAGTGACTGCGTATAAATGAAGTTGATTTGAAGAATCGTGACAAGCTGCTTACTTCCTACCTCTCTCAACCTCCCTCTCTCAACCTCCCTCTCTCAACCTCCCTCTCTCAACCTCCCTCTCTCAACCTTCCCCTCTCAACCTCCATCTCTCCACCTCCCTCTCTCAACCTCCCTCTCTCAACCTCCCTCTCTCAACCTCCCTCTCTCAACCTCCCTCTCTCAACCTCCCTCTCTCAACCTCCCTCTCTCAACCTTCTTCGCCCGACAGGCTATGCTAACCTCGTCTGCTCGTTGAGAACTGCAGTCATTGATAAGGCGCGAGCAAACTCTGCCTTCTTTTCAATGCAATGAGGGATGATGAAGCTGCTGAGCTAACAGGCGTTGCACTGTGCGTGGTGATGAAAAATGGTGCAAATAGTGGAGATGATTCTTGAATAATCGAAACCCCTCAAGGAAAAAAAAATCATCTTTGCTCCAATACAAAATAAGAGTAAAAAAATTCATAGGTTTTTAACTATTAAGGAGCTTCTGACTCGCTTGATTCACAAGAACTTGTGAGTTTGAAACGTGATGTAATGCAGAATAAATCATGGTTGTTCAATATTCAAATAACTTTTATTTACTTTCATTTGTTTCATTACGGCATATGAGGATTCGCTAGTCGTCAAGTTATTACAAAACTCCTATTAAACTTTTGGAGGATTATGAAATTGGCGCTCATAATGCAGTAGAATATTTAATTAAAGAATTAATTTTGTAAAACGTAAGAACTGAATGACTCATCAAAATAATTATTGCAAAGGCGATTATAGTTTTTTCGGAATAGATGGTGCATTCAAATCCAAAGTCATCCTAAAATGCCCAGCTGTTCTACCACTCTGTATATGTTTTTTCCTCCCTTTTTAAATAACATATTCCAGAAAACAAAGTCTAGAGTGATCAAATTTTGCTGTGACGCGCCCCTACAGGCATGACAGGAAGAATGTGCATCAAAAGGCACTAGCTTTACCGCTAGCGCCCTGACACCGGCCCGAGATTCTGCCATCGATAGGCGCGAAGGCAGCCATCCTCTCCATTCATAACCGTCTGTAGCCGAGGATTTTTCAGTCCCGCGTAATGATAGACTTTGTCTGAAGCTTTAATCTTAGAAGTGGGATAAACTTGGAGTTTGTTGGCGTGCGGGGCGCGAGAAGGTGTCATCAAGAGGAGCGTTAATATCGTCTTGAAACGACGTCGTCATTTGTTCAGGTCGCTACAAAGAAGCGGAGTCACCCCAACCCCTCCCTCCCGCCGCCTCGCTCCCTGGGCGATGCATTGACGGAACTTTTTTGAAGCTCTAGGCGACATTAATCTTAGGTGCCCAACTTGCCTGCAGTTTTCATTGCCAGCATTAAAAAGGCTTCGAATAAAATTTAATGAGGAAGCCGATGATATTCATTGATCTTATGTATTTAACACTCAACGATGAGATTTGAAAAATATTATGCTATGCTGAAACATAATCAAATTAATTATTTCGCCAGTAAACAAAATTACTTGATCGATTCATTTTTAATTTCAGAATTTTGTAACGAATAATTAATCTTTGGTATAGCATTGCAGAATTAAATCTAAAATATTATATCTACAAATATCCCTGACTTCCGCAAATCTCCATAATGTAATTTGGACGGCCATTCATTGTCCTCGGTCGGCCACTCAACCGATTTAAAGGATTTCTGTGAAATAAACAATTTTTATTTGCTGAAAATCTATAGGTGGGGTTTTTGAGCCCTGCGATACAATAAACCCTGACGCAGGCTGCTGGGCCCTGCAGTACAATAAACCCTGACGCAGGCTGCTGGGCCCTGCAGTACAATAAACCCTGACGCAGGCTGCTGGACCCTGCAGTACAATAAACCCTGACGCCTCCCGCCAATACTATAATCCCTGACGTGTTGGTGATGGTATGATGCGGTACTGCGGTGGCTGCGAATAAAGGTCTGATCGATAGAGCCCAAGATTTTTATGAAGGGGACTTCAAATAAATTCAATGCGGCAATATCAGGCCTCGACCAGTGCCTGAAGGAACACGTGGTCACAGAACACACCGCTGATAGTAGCGTATATACTTCCATGTCCCGACTTACGGTCCCGCAGGACCGCTAGCGTCACCCGGGGACTAGTGACCCGATCAAACGTCTCTCAGGACCATAAGTACCTACAGGACCCATGTCCCGACCCATAAGTACCTACAGGACTCATGTCCCGACCCATAACACCCTACGGGGAACTACGTCCCGACTCGCCCACGGTTCCTCAGGACCCATAAAGCCCCACGGGGACGCGGGTCCTCCTCAGAACCCTCAACTCCTCACGTCAAACCGCGCCCCGACCCACGGTACCTCAGGACCCATAACTACACATGGGGGCCCGCGTCCCAACTCACAGTCTCTCAGAATCCATAGCTTCGCACAGGGCCCCGTGTCCCGAGGTCCCTCAGGACCCATAGAGGGGACCCAGGTCCCGACCCACAAAAACCCTCGCTTGGACCACCGTCCCCACAGCTGCGTGGCTCTCAGGTGTTTGAGTTAAATGAAGCGCGTGACGTTCGAGAAGCTTTAAGAACCTGCGTGTTTTCAGAACTGCATTCTCTATAGCTCATAAAAGTAATATTGTGTACGCAACTTGAATAATCTTTGCTGAAGGTTACAGAAATGAAATATTTAGAAAATGGTCTCGAAAAAGAGAACACAATTTTTAAATTTTACCTAACGACAATTTTTCGCCTGCATCCAATAATTTTATCAATGATCTCGATGCAGTGAGTCAACTAGAACTATTGCATGATATGTTCACATAGAACCTGTACTACAAGTATCGAGAACATCAACATGCTACGCCTTCAATTACTGTTCTGACCAGGTGGTAACAAACTGTTCCACATAATACATACGAGAGAACACTATATGGTTGTTCATTGATGCTCAATCAATATATTGCAAACAGTGTATAAGCACTCCTTTGCTTAAAATAAATCGAGTATTAATAAAATGATCGATTACTACCATAAGATAATCATCCTTCTATATAGAGATGTTTCCAAATACATGATTACATTTCAGGGCATTCAATTGCCAGTAGGCATTAGAATCATAAATCAGATTAAATTAGGAACGCAAATGACAGAAAATTATTCGCCTGAAATAATTCATCAGAAATTGACTCAAGCTGAAGAATAAACGAAGAACTTCGTCACTAGCCTGTTATTATACAGGTAGAATTATTAAGCATCACTCACCTGACGCTCAACTACAGGAAGATTGACTTCCAGCAGCTTAATGTAAACAAATTCGCGCCACTTCCGGAATTTTCCTCTTCGGTGATTTATTGATTCTAATTTGTCGGTCCAGCGTGTTATTAGACCATCATAAAATCGAGATTGCAAATTCCAATGTTTATCGACCAATGACATCAGTTTGAGTACGTAGTTAAATTCACAAGAAGTCTGTGGTCCTGACTGAAATATTTTTTGTGTACGGACACTAAAGTTCATTCAAGAATCAGGCAGCTTCTGTGATACACAACCACCCTTCATCGCTGCCGCGAGGCGACTGAGCGAGCCAAGTTTGCTGTCTGGCTTCACCTGGCCTGCTTGTCACTCGTCTGGCTTACCTGTTTCAGGTTCATCCCATCTTTGAGGAGGAGGAGGGAGTCCGGATTTCAAGCTCAATTTGTTTGGATTTCGTTTCCAGCTCAATTTTTTTCCAAACATGAAATTCTGTGAGCAAAGAATATGTCTCCCTTCACCGGTTGTCAGTTGTTGTACGCGTATATCGCACTCCGTATCATAGAATATCTCTTTCAAATATCACGTGCTTACGAATATCGACACCCATTTTGCTAAAAAGCGCAGGAGACAACAAGTTCATGTATTTATATAACCTTTGATATTTTGCAGTGGTTTACAAAGCGCTTGTTATGCCCGGGACAGGCCTATAATTAGGAGCAGGTCTTGCCGTTAGTCTCATCAAGGAACTGATTGCGTGTGGCCAGCCTGACCCCTGCCATCATGAGCTCTCTTCGCTGCAGCCATCAACCAGAGCAGACGAAGCACAAGTATTATTCCATAATGGTTATTTATTATCAAAAACTATTTGTACAGATATGCTAAAAATAATACCGCATATTGCCATTTAAAAGTTATACGGAAGTCATCGTGTTTGTGGTGTTTAGAATACGATGTCCAGAGATGGTCACAGACCGAGTTATGGCACAACAATTGGAGCCAAATTTACAGGTGCTCATCGTCACAAAGGAGCTTCAGAAGCGGTCAATAAAGAGAACATTTATGTCGCCCTAAACTTAATTTATTAGAGTTATGATAATAATAATAATAATAATAACAATAATAATAATAAAAATAATAATAATAATAATTATTATTATTATCATTATTATAATTATTACTATTATTTATTGCTGATGAAGATATTAAGATGGATTTAAAATGCGTACAATGATGCAACTCTGAAAATTGCTGTAATACAATTCAAAATAATTGTGAATGCAAATGCATTACATTCAAAGCTGTATTATAAAACTAGTTCTCTTAAATCTGTTAAAAAACGTAATTTAACACATGTTTGATTTACTTTACGCTCTATTATAAACGAAAAAGTTAGGTTTCCAAGTTCACTTGGGTTTTTCGATGAATCCCAGTTTTTTCACTGGCTGGCCAGGTTAAGTTCTCACCGTAACGTCAAACCTTCTAAAACTATGTTTATTCACCGGACCCGTGAGCAAAAGCAGCTTCTATACTCAAAACAAATTCGTAACCGATGCTCAGGCTTCCAAATTTGGCAGCTGACCTTCCTCGCCGAGCCTTGCCTGCAAAATTAGCCAACCCAAAATAGAAAAAATGACACTTATTCCAAAAAATCTCAAGGGAAACTTCACGGCGGCGAAGTTTCATGATCGCAAAAAGTGTCAACAGCAAAGTGTTGGGAAATTTTCAGATATCTTGGCTAGTCTCACTCATTTTCAAGAATTGTTATTGGTCTTTGAAATTACCTATTGAGCGTACACCAAGCCTTCGATGATAAATTTTTAAATGCATGTTTTTATTTCTAAATAAGTTGAACGAATAGATAGTATAAAGCGCTCAAAAATATCCAGGAAAAAAAAGGCTAAACACTGAAGTGAAATTTAATTATCTGACCTGTTCACTAGAGAAGCAATTAAGGGTTTAATTCAAAGCTCTATAAAACCAAAAATTTAAAATCTGCAATAGTACAATTTAATAATTTCCAGCAAACGTTCAAAAAATTGTGATAAGCAACGTAATCAATGTTCTACGATCAATTCAGATAATTGATTATTAATTTCAGATAATGGATAAGGTTTCTTTGATTTAATTATATAAATTCCATAAACACTCCGTTCATAATTACCCGTTATTTTTGTGATAAGCCTGCTTGATTAATACAACATCATGCTTGGCAAATTCTCAAGAGAAGGCATATATACCATCGAGTACCGCGGCGCTTGTGCCGTCGAGCGTCGTACATCTATGTCGTAAAATTCATCAAATTATCGAAAATTGGAATGAAAGTGCGAAAAGCTTAGATAAACATGATACGTATAAGAAGTTGAAATTTCGCGATACACGAGTGCTTGATATTTTGGTATCTAAATACTATGTGTTATTGTTCAGTTATAACTGTGACACATTATTTGGTGCCTAAATTCTTTAAATTTTCGTTGTTTCGTAAAAACCTTCATTTTTCAGACACAAGGACGATTGTTCTTTTGTGATTCAAAATTGATAGTTGAATATATTGTTTCTCAACATAACTAATTTTTGCATTGGAGCGATCGTCCAAAAAAAAATTTTAATCCGTGAGTTTCTGTACTGGTGAAGCGTGGAAAAGTATGTAGCGTGCGAGACCATGCACGTTTCTAAACTAAATCACGCGTCATGAAAGATTGATACTAAGAAAAGTTTTTCCATTAGAATTGCGTTATTATAATATTTTCTCCCGTATATCTAAGCTCGTTACCAACTGATAAAATATTTAAATTATACTTTTTTATTCACACTGCTGGCTTCTTAACTAAACTTTACAGTGTACAGTTCCTTTCATCAAATTGTGGAATGCGTGTTTAAGATATATTTTCAACAGTTGAAATTAAGTGATATTTTATTAAGATTGAATTTCCCATTGTCGTTTCTACAAGCGGCGCATTTCTACGAAGATGCCTCAGCAAAGGGTATTCCAAACTCATCCAGTACTGCATAGACTCAGACATCAGCCACACCCGCGCCCGAGCTTTGCTTGCCGTGCAGAGAAGAAACTACAATGAATTGGAAGTCTCAGTCATCCCGAGCTTGCCTTCCCACGGTCGCGGGGCATGGTAGAGTTCACTGAGGCATCAGCCTATAGCAAGAAAATAAAGCAAAATGAAGAAGAATTGAAACGGTCATTCGCCCTCACATTCTTTGTGTAAAATTAGCATCTATTCAACAAATCATACAGCACAACTTTGTTAAGGGTGGTCGATAAATTTTATTTAAGTTGTGAAGAGTTTTGAAAAAATTATCTGTCTCTTGCTGATGCTGATTTTTGTCTCTTGCTGATGATATTATTATTATTAGAGTTATGATAATAATAATAATAATAATAACAATAATAATAATAAAAATAATAATAATAATAATTTATTCCAAACTCATCCAGTACTGCATGGACTCAGACATCAGCCACACCCGCGCCCGAGCTTTGCTTGCCGTGCAGAGAAGAAACTACAATGAATTGGAAGTCTCAGTCATCCCCGGCTTGCCTTCCCACGGTCGCGGGGCATGGTAGAGTTCACCGAGGCATCAGCCTAGCAAGAAAATAAAGCTAAATGAAGAAAAAATTGAAACGGTCATTCGCTCTCACATTCTTTGTGTAGAATTAGCATCTATTTAACAAATCTTACAGCACAACTTTGTTAAGGGTGTTCGATACATTTTATTTAAGTTGTGAAGAGTTTTGAAAAAATTATGTTTTATTTCCTTTCCAATCATTGTTTAAATATCTTGTTGTGTATGGAAGAAAGTCTCGTTGCTGAGCAAAGTACGTGAGAGATGACTTGCCGTTCAATAACCATCAAGTGACTGACACACAGTTTGCCATTACTAATAGAATTATTCGAATAATTTTGAAGTCAAATTTAATATTATGAAGAAATTTTGACAGGTATGAAGAGAAATCGTATCATTTAAAGGTAGTTGGGTGCATCGAAAACTTCAACTCAAAATTCTCCGTCCAGCAGTTCCTCCGCCATGCGATGTTCAGGTTCACATTCGCATATTTCATAGGATATGTCACGCATCAATATATGAATACGAAATAATCCCTCATTACTCATATCATTCATAACTTGAATACTATAAAAGTGAATAATGCACTATACATCGTGGAATAAACTATACAACTCTGGATTCATTATAAATTTCGTAGGAACCTCAATGCTCCGTAAGTAGTGAGCTCTCCAGAACCTGCACGTCATGTGTTGGGAACTTTGCATTAGTAATTGTACATTGCACTGTCAGAAAACCCTATTTAATATTTATTAAAATTAATGAAAATACATGTTTTGAACACTCATATTACCGTAGCATTGTTCAGTACCCGAAATGTCGCATTAAAAATTTTAACATTAACGCCTTTCTAAATAATGGCGAAGAGAGCAACTATTAAAAATAATGAGTTAAATAATAATACGATTATACGTAAAATATAATGATTTGATCTTTACTAATTCTCTATTAAAACAGAATTGAAATAGTAAAAAATTAAATTTGAAAATAAGAATATACTAATTTTTAACATTAATGATTTATTAATGTTCGCTGCATTTTTTCGTTGGAAAACAGTCAATCCAAATAAATCAATAGTTCATTTTCACGCAGCGGCCAGCGTGCGTGCTCTCGGCTACAACAGCAAACAGAAGGCGAAAGCTGAAGTTATTTTCTCCGCAGAATTAGTTCTCATGACCTACAATGGCTTTAAATGTATTCACATCAAGTGAAAATACTTTCAGAAATCCTAACAAATTTATTGGTTGAAATAAAATCAACATATATTACCTTATAATTTTCGTTGGCGTTTGGTATGAAAAAGTTGACCCGAGCTCCTTGCGAACTGATGTTGTATAAGCTGCACAAACATCGAAGAAAAACTGGTTCGTCGTTTATTAGCGACTGCAGCCGAGACGGACGATTTTCTGACCTATGACCACGCGGCCTTTAACGCCGACGAGGCCTGTTTGCATAGATGACACGTGGGTTGGTATCACGCTCTTGATGACCCACGCTACTATGCGACCTAATGCTTGAGTAGATGCAGAGTGACGGTGAGTAATTTCAGCCGAAGCATCAACCTTCAGCTCTCGATCAACCCATTTATTTTATCATTTATTAATAACGCCCAACACGACACGGCCAATAGCCTTTAGATCGCGGGCGCTGATACTCAGGCCTGGCTGAGCGCTGCAATAATCCTTGTTTGGTTGGTGGACGGGCGACAGCTTAATCACATTTAAATACAAAAATCC